ATCCAGCAACGCTGTTTGCAGCTAGACAGTAAAGGGGATGGACAGCTGGAGACTACATTTTACAGCTGTTTTGTTAGTTATTAAGACCTTAACAAACAGGTCGTATGACTTCCTAGCCAAATTATCTGATCTAGTGAGTAATTAAAATTCCACATCTTAACTGCCTGCTTCCCTTGCAGCTGTTTGTTCTGTTCAGTGAGGAGGAGCTGGTGCATCACTTGCGGCAGGTCCTGGAGACGCACGAAGTGAACTGGCAGCACGTGCTCTCCAGTGTCTCCACGCTGCTGGTGTGTCACACACAGGCCCAGCACAGACTCAAGGGTGAGAGTCCTGGGCCTCTATCGCCTGGAAGACAGGGGCTCCTCTAAGAATGAATGCACCTTGCTACAGTATGTCTAGCTTTAGCTTTACAGAGGCTATCTACAGTGAAGAACCTTGAGAAAATCCCAAGGCAGCAAATCCATGGTCAAAACAGACCAAGCCGATTGTCGTTAATCTGTACGGTCAAGTAGAGGTGCTGCTAGTTATACCAGAGGCGCAGATGTACCGTGGGACAGTTTTCAATATGGATAATATGCACAATGGTGTGACAAACCATAGTCTTACACAGGTGTCAATTAATTAAAGCTTTTTAAAAATTTATCGAGTTTTTGCATATCATGTGAATGGCTCTATGACCTAAGTAGAAACAGCCTCTGTAAATATCTCACCCACCGAACGGACTTACTAATGTGAGGACTGAGGTCTGTCCTCTGATATGGGCAGGACCTGTTTTCCTCTGACAGATCTGGTCATTGAATGGAGCCATGCATTCTGAGGTTGGAGATTCCTGGTCTACATTCTCTAAATAATAGCGGCACAGGGCACAGAAATAACCATAAATCCCATGACTTAAAAGAAGTCTGAACAGGTGAATCTGTGCATGCAGAGGCAATGTAGTCAAGATGTCCTTTGGCATTGATCGCTGATTATATAATTAGATGCAGGCAGATAGATGCAGGTGAAGACTAGTAAGATGTATTGCTGCTGAACATAAATATGAATAGCATCACTGAGCGGTCTCTTCTTAGTCAGCAGGTGTTATAGCTTCCCTGATTGATCTTTGCCTGTATCTAGCCTGTCCTAATGTGTTCCAGGTGTCTAACCCCTCACAGTACCTTCCTGTGTTTCTCAGATCTGCTGACCCAGCTTCTCACC